TAAATATTTTGTTTCGGTTTTGCATTCATCGTTTGTAGTAAAATTTCTCACGAACTACTTTGCTTAAGGTTTGAGGCATAGAGAAGTGCTTTATTAAACACAAGTTGAATTTTTGCAATAAATATTACATAGAATTAGCAAATTAAGGTTGATTTAACAAATTCCGATGCCCAAATGCTTCGTTTTAAAAGATTTGATGTAATTTATTTATTGGATTCAACTACAATTATTATATATTTTTTGCCTTTAATTTGTTTTATTTCATCAATTCATCTAGCATTAATGATGGACAAGTTTGGCACTACTTCTATCCGATAAACAAGAGCTGATTTCAGAAATATCAAAATAATCCCTATTTTCAAATATTTAAATAACCCCTACATCTCAAATTTCTCTTAAATAACCCCCAAAAGATCCCAGCCAAGCCAAGAATCCGGCCAGATTTCAACACCATTGGACCTCCCCGACATCACCATCAACATCTCCTTATCCTCCTCACAAAAATCCCTAACTTTTCCACCTGATTGCACCTCGACTAAGTGTCAAAATTTGGTTGGAAATGGGTGAAAAAACCCAAAAAACCAAAGGAGAGGCGTCGACGATCGGGTGGTAATTACAGTTGGCAATGTTAGAGGTTTTGGTGGGGGGAAGCCGACAATGCTATTGGTGGTCTTGGGGGTGGTTTTCGGTGTTGGGATTTGTCGAAATTTGGATAAAACACCGATTGACACTAAAAGCGACGGTTGGCGATTGGGGGGTTCAATCAGGTGAGGAAGTTAAGAGTTTTGATATGGAGGTTGAGGGGATTGTAATAGTGGTATTCTTTTACTTATTTTTTTTTTTTTTTACTGTTGGATTCAATAGTTATCTGATAATTTAAAGGAGACCCAATGGGAAAATGTCGTTTACTCATTATTTTATAACAGTCATAGTAATCTACAGCTATAAATTCTCAGTCTATTATTGCGCCCCCTACGCTGCACCTAATTTGTCTCTTACAATTTAAACTTAGTGCCAGTCAAAGATCGTTCAAACATTTTGTTTCTCTCTCTCTCTCACTCTCTCTCTCTCAAACCCACTTTTTCTTTNATATTATAGAAATTGAAGAAACATTAACCATTTAAAAATACATGAAAATGTCGAATTTATAGTAATTAAAAAACAAGTGCTTAGTGCAACAAATCCTACATCAGAAGCATATTAGGAAAGTCTTAGACTTATAAAAAGAGAAATTCCTTCACCTAATAAGTTAACCTTTTAGATGTGAAACCCATGATAAGCTGTATCAGAGCAAATCCAGTCTGTCTTTCAATATCTCATCAAACGTTCATGTCAAGGCCTAATAAAATAACCTTTTGTGTGTGAAACTAGTAGTGTGTGACATTAGGAATAAAATTAACAAAAAGTATTTTTAGAATATATTTAAAAATAAATTTAATAAGTTTAATTTTCAAACCATTACGGCATCACCCAAAAAAAAAAAAAAAAACAAAACAAAACAAAAAACAAAAAGAATTTTGTTCTATAGTTGATGACTGGTGAAGTGCTGTTTCCGCACAAGACAAAAGAAGTGTAGCGATGGAACATATTTAACACAAACTGCTGGATGTGAAAGAGCCAAACAAGAACCAACCACAAACCAAACCGTGGAGTGTGTTATCCGAAAACCCTTTTTTTTTTTTTTTTCTTTTTTTTGTGGCTCCCCTTTGATTATTATTATGAACACCGAATTTCGTCATCTTCATAATCTATCTCGAACAAACTACGTACCCTTTCACAGCTTGAACCATGAATGACACAGTGGACAAACTCGTCATCTTCCTCGCAAAGAGAGACGGCATTGACAAGCTCGTCAAGACTTTTCAGTACGTGTCCAAGCTTGTTCACTGGCACGTTGAAGCCACTCAACCAGATATTGCGCAAAGATTCAAACATTGGGAAGTTGCCTCCGGCCTCAGTAGAAAAGCCTTCAGAACCGGCAGGTTCCTCACTGGGTTTAACCTTCTCCGAAGAAATCCTGGCTCGACACCAACTCTCAGGTTTTTGGCTGCTCTCGCCAATTCGGGAGAGATGGTTTACTGGTTTTTTGACCACTTTCTTTGGTTGTCAAGAATTGGAACTCTGGACGCAAAGTTGGCGAGAAGGATGAGCTTCATATCGGCGTTTGGTGAGTCTTTCGGCTATATATTCTTCATTATATCTGATTTTATTATAATGAAAGAGGGGTTAAAAGAGGAGAGAAAGCTTGTAAGTTCGAAAGAAGATTCAAAGGATGTGAAAGAGATTGTGAAGAAGATAAGAGGTGATAGAGTGATGAGGTTGATGGGAGTGGCGGCTAATGTTGCAGACTTGATAATTGCACTGGCGGATATTGAGCCGAACCCATTTTGCAACCACGCGGTTACTCTAGGCATTAGTGGATTGGTCTCTGCCTGGGCTGGTTGGTACAGAAACTGGCCGTCATAAGCAAATTACTGGTTCATGTATAACTTTGTCAGTTTGTTGTAACTATCGACTTTGGGAAGATGTTGAGTGTATTTTGGAACTGAGTTTATGGACTCAGAATATGCTGTTTCTTTTGCTTAAAATGATTCTGCATAGAAATTACTGATAAATTGGATCGTTATGTACAATATATTCTGAAACAATTTTGGGTCATTATTTTCTTTGAAGAATTTCCCACTTCAAATTTAATTTGCCTATGCAATATAAATTTACCTTTTAGTCCTTATTTTCAGTTTATAAATCCTGTTTTGATGTAACGATATGGGTTCATTAAATAATAAATATTATCCTTAAATCGCAAAAAATTGTCTTTTTTACAATTTTAAAAGATTGAATTATTTAATTAAATATACCTTGAATTCAAGCACAAATACCAATTAACCTCTTTTCAGTCGTATTATTGTTGACTTGCTTTTACAACAAATTTAATGTGCACAAACACCTGCATGTATCCGAAAAGAAATTCTCATCCACCATGTCGGGTGCTGACCATTAGGGAGCAAACAGAAGGAAGAGTCTCTAGAATTAACGAGAACAATCGAGCTAGTCTCCAGCCCATAATCACCGGCCACCGCAAATCAAAATTTCATGCACGATTCCGATCGACTCCAACCACCGCAATTCGGCCTTCTACCACCAAACAAACCACTAATCATCCCTATTCAATAGTTTGGACCGTGATAGCTCTCCAATTTTCGGCGATCGTGATTCAATTCTTTTGTTGAATGGTTGGTGTCCGATGAACGGTGAACAACCAAAATCTAGGATGATGGGGCTTTTAGAGAGGAGGTGTCGTTGATACTACAAGTGGCTTCAGGTGAAATTTTCAGCAACCAAATTGGCCACAGTCTAACCTGTAAGCTCAACAGTCGTGCAAACAAAAAACCAACGGTGGTCGGCGATTGGCGTGCTTGGTGTGGTGGGAAAGTGAGGGGTTTTTGTGAGTGAAGGATGGGGAAGCTGAGGGTGGAGCCTGCACTGATCAACGGCGCCAATATCATGCTGAATTGCTTGAACCAGTGGTTAGGGTTTGGTAAGGTATCGAGCCAAAAGGACAATATGACCATTTTGCCCTTACTTTTAACTAGCTTTTGACCATTCTGCCTTTGTTCACAATAAAAATTACCAACATATTTGTGTTTTGGGTGGAAAATGGTATTTTAATAGTCTAAGGATAAAAAAATGTCGTTAAATCATTTTTTGGGTGGAAAAAAGTCATTAACTCTTCTATTAATCAACAAAAAAGGGGTTCTCTGACCCATCGCCATCCCTTATGTTCTTATCCTGCAAACGCCTAAAATCATTAAATTGTGTTAAACTTTTACATAAACCTTTCTGAAAAACATGGCCACATTCCTTGTTTTGCAAACAAATGTGTTTTATTTAAATTTGTACTTATATCGTTTTTAACGAAACAATAAGGATCCTCTTACATTGCCCGGTAATTGTTGTATTAATTGTTCAATATATAAAGGAGAATGACATTTTCCCACCCAAGGTTTGGTGAAACAATTTTTCCCACCCGTCAAGTTTTAAAATAACACATTCCCACATTTCGTCATGTTCTATTAGAGTTTTTTGTTAATATTTGATTAAAAATACGAAAATATCCTTAAAATTTTTATTTCTTAATTAGTTTATTATAAATTAAAATTTAGTTAAGTTAAAGTAAAGATAAATTTATTAGTTTAAATGTAAAGATAAATTTTTTCTTTTGTTTATTTAATTAATTAGGAATATTGATATTTTATGTTATTTAGTAAAAACAAAAAATATTATAAATTTAATAGATTATCGAATAATAGTGATGAGATATTGATGACACTATAAATAAATATTAAAGTTATTTAACTTTAAACAATTTCATAACATTATTTATAACTTTTTAGGTGGGGTTAACTATTTTTTTCTTTTTTAACTTTTTAATATTTGACTTTTTGGTTAATTAAAAATAATAATTTATAAATTCAAATATTTAAGGATATTATCGGATGCGTTTGGTTTATTATTTCATACCTTATTCCCAAAATATTTGTTTGTTTAATTATTTAGAAAATACTATTATATTTTTTTAATTACTTTTAGAATCTTTAAGTTTATTAATTTCATAATACCCCCAAAAAAGTTTAAAAATTAACAAAAACACCTTCACCCACCCATAGTTGCAAGATTCCGGCAACCACCGTCGGTGGTAGTCGGAATCTGCCACAACAACCTACAAACAACTGGAACTGGTCTGTAATTCATCGATCTGGCCTTTTCTAGCCAGATCTGACTGGTCTGGCTCGTAACGCCAGATTCCAACGGTGGTGGCCGAAATCTGGCACTGTGGGTGGGGGTATTTTTGTCATTTTATAAATTTTTTATATATTAGGGTATTTAGTTAAATTAGCAAACCTACGAGGTTTTTTTATTAATTTTAAAATTTTACCTCGTAATAATCACTCTATTCAACTATCCAATACTATTTCCAAAATCCTATCCAAAATAACAAATCAAACGGACCTATCATCTTTTCAGTAGAATATTAATGTAAAACATAACAGAATCTAGCAAAGGGTGGAAAAGTGTCATTTTGAAACTTGAAGGATGGGAAAGGGTCGTTTCGCCAAACCTAAGTGGGAAAATGTCGTTCTCCTAATAGATAACAAACAAAATGGACAAAATGGGGTAAATATAAATATTAGGTCAGAAGGGTGAAATTTCTTTGAGAAATGATGACGTGTAAAGCAGTGATTGGTGGAGCCAACATGCGAAGCGTGCGTTAACCTATAAGGCTATGACATTTCAACCTCAGTTATTGTGTTTGAAGACTGGTTAATAGTTGACTTCATTGTCTTTGCTAGACGGTTGTTTTTGGCTTCTGCGGACTGTTCCAGATTCAGATCTCCTCCAGTTTCAACCGCATATCTCGCCCATTCTCTGCATCTGCCACAACGTCTTTTACCTAATTCAGGCAAGAACCCTAGCTTAATTGCTTTTCTTCAACTTCTTTTTCTTTTTCTTTTTCTAAACGGTTGAATATACTTCGGCATTAATCTTCGTAGAGAATTAATTTACGAAATTGAGAAAGCGTGTTCGTTTTGAGTGTTAGTAAAGAAGTTTATAAGTTAATTTTGCTTGATTATTTTCATCTGTATTTTATCCCTAAACTTTAAATTGTTTCATACTTGGTTGTTAAATTAGTTTTGCGCGGTGNCACCACCGCCGACAGCGGGTCAACCACCACGGACCACCGCCGAAAAATTGCCGGAGTCCCTAAAAACACTGGAAATTCTGTGGGAGGCCCCGGGAGGCTTCGATATGGCCGTTTTTTGCCATATTGATGGCCGAAAACGGCCATATCGGGACAGATCTGGCTGGAAATGGCCAGATCTATTCTGGCTATTTCCGGCCAAATCTCTGGCCATTATCGGCCAGGTCTGGACCAGACCTGGCCATTAATGGCCATGGACCTGGCCGTTAACGGCCAAATCTATTCTGGCCGGAATAGATTTGGCCGTTAACGGCCAGATTCGTGGTCGTTAACGGCCAGATTTGGTCTAGAACTGGCCGCTAATGGCCAGGGATCTGGCCGTTAACGGCTAGATCTGGCCTGATATGGCCGTTTAAGGCCATCAATATGGCCGGAAACGGCCATAACGAAGCCTTCCGGAGCCTCCCACAGAATTTCCTTCTTTTTTAGGGGCTCCGACGATTTTCCGGCGGTTGTTCGCGGTGGCGGCAGGCGGCGGCAGGAGGTGGGGGTGATTTCATCATGAATTAAAGTTTTTTTATAAGCGGGGGTGTTTTAGCTAAATCTGAAATATTGGGGGTTAAAAAATTATTCAAAAATTAATAATAAAAATAATATTATATTAATATTTAAAAGAGAGTCAATTTAGTAATTTAAATAACATACCCACCAATTTATTCCCATAACCAAACATATTAATATAACATACCCACCAACTAACCAAACATATTTTCTTAAAGATTCCCAGTAATCTTCCAAGGTAATCTATCTTTCCAGTAATCCAATATTCCCAGTAATCTAACATTCTTGAACCAAACGCCCCCTATGAGTTAAGTCATCTCCCAAGTTAAGCTGAACTGAGTTCGGCCCATTCGCCCGCAACAGTCCATGACAAGGATAAGAGTCTTACCCAAATTTCTCTTTTGACAAGATCTCATATCTCACCCAAAGTAGAAAGCCTTGAAAGATAAAGGCAAAAAAATCAATCTCTTCTCGAAAATAGTTCTCCTACCAAGTAAGACTCAAAGTCCTACTGGGATTCGAGCCCCTGAGGTTTACTATATAAACTGAGGCCGATCCTCTCATTAGGGAAGAAAAAAGAAAAAGACCACCCTGAAACTTTAGTTTACATACCTTCAAGCCTCCCCTCGCTTCGCTAAAGTTCCAATTGCTACGCAAGAAGATGCTTCGCAAGTCCATCAAGGTTGTCAGTGGCTCTCTTCACAAGATTCTACCTTCGATTGTAAATTTTATCGTTTACACTCATAATATTCACATTTTTAGGTTAGGTCAATTTTAATATAATAACGTCAGCAAGGATCAAATTTTTGAAACAAATAAATTATTCTAACACAAAAATATATTTTGTGTGAAATTACTATAATAATCTCATCATTGCCCATTTAATAAGCTTCTCTCATGAATATATAAATAATACTAAGCTTCACTAAAACTCTTTTTAAGCTTCATAAATTAAACAATTTTAAAATAAAAATCATATTATAGAAATTGAAGAAACATTAACCATTTAAAAATACATGAAAATGTCGAATTTATAGTAATTAAAAAACAAGTGCTTAGTGCAACAAATCCTACATCAGAAGCATATTAGGAAAGTCTTAGACTTATAAAAAGAGAAACCCCTTCACCTAATAAGTTAACCTTTTAGATGTGAAACCCATGATAAGCTGTATCAGAGCAAATCCAGTCTGTCTTTCAATATCTCATCAAACGTTCATGTCAAGGCCTAATAAAATAACCTTTTGTGTGTGAAACTAGTAGTGTGTGACATTAGGAATAAAATTAACAAAAAGTATTTTTAGAATATATTTAAAAATAAATTTAATAAGTTTAATTTTCAAACCATTACGGCATTACCCAAAAAAAAAAAAAAAA